GGGGGGGGGGGGGGGGGCGGAGCAGGGATGGGGGGTAAGCTTGGTGGAAGCCTTCTGCGTGTCTCTAACGGGAGTGAAGAGCTTTGCGGAATGGGGGCCTTTCTGCATGAGAGCACTGCCAACCCTTCACAGCGATTTTAAACGTCTCAGGGGGGGGGGCAAGACCTACAAATCTAAACGCTGTGGGGTCAGCGGCCCTGGCACAGCCGTCACGAGACGAGGACCGAGCTTAGAGAGGATGACGGGACCACGTGTGTGTTTACTGTCAGGCTATACGGGGGGGGGGGAACAGGCTCGCACACACCCCCGGCCTCCCGCCTCCCACACCGGCAGGAGACCGAGGCTGCTGCCAATTAAATGGCCATGGATGGTGTGGAGATTTTCTCAGCGGCCGGATTCTGTCCAGTCAGCATTCCCGCCACTGGGTGCCCCTGATGCAAACAGCTCAGCAAACAGATTTACACACTGGGAGGATTATGCAGAACTGGAGCCATCAAGGGGAGATTCAGCAGAGGGACAGGACATCTAGGGCAGACGGAAGCCGCCAGCGGACGCTGCTTGAACGAATAATTCATAATCAATATTTACAGCGACATCTCATTGCCGGAGACACAGGCAGGCCCTGAGAGACGCTACAGGGATGAAAAGCGGAGAAAAGAAAAGGACATGAAAGAAGAAAAGATACAGAGAAACGTTTTGTGACTTTGAGCAGGAGAACAAAAGGTGCGGTGATGGAGGGAGATGGAGGGCTTGGGCTGGCGGGGACACTCGCCTGCAGGACCTGGCAGCGGTCGGAGGAGCAGTCGATGTTCTCGCAGGGCTGGTACATGCCCAGGGTGACGCAGTTCAGCAGGATCACCATGATGCTGATGCGCTCGAACCACGTGGCGGGCGGCCAGTCAAGGAAGAAGCCTGTCTCTCACTGGGACATTCTCACACTGCTCACTGGGGGCTACACCCACGGCTCCTCCTGAAACCATTAATCCATCAGCTCCTTCGTTAATCATTATACCCCCTGCTGGCCTCTGCAGTGATTACACATTTTACATAAATACAGGGTTAAGCCGAGCTTGTTACCCCACTCTCTGCAAATCCTTATCCAGCCCTCTCCCCCCCCCCAAAAAAATACAGCCCGTCTTCTACAGAGAATAGACAGGTTTCTGTATAAATCTCTCCAGTGGCCACAGTAATCAGCAGCTGCCCCTGGACACTGTAAGTGATGGATGGACCAGGCTGAGCCCACAGCCCCCATGTAGATAAATGGCTCGCAGCTGGAGTGGAGCCTTCAAAGCAGGCAGGGTATGGGGCACTGTGGCTACCCCTGTCACCCGCGGCATCTCCCTGCTCCCCGCGCTCACTTCACCTCCGCCTTGTGGGGTAATTAGTATGTTCGCAGTGACGTATTTGCAGTGCTCCTCTTTGGGGGCGTCCTTGGGGCCGCTCTCTCAGAGAGTGGGCTCTGTATCTGGGTCGTTTCCACCCCGTGCTCTGGGGACATTATCTTATACCCAAGGGACACACTTAACCATTAATGGGTGCAGCCCTGGTTGAGTGTTCCAGTGGGCAGGAAAACCAGGAACACCCCCCACCACCCTTGGAAAACAGCACCACCCAGAGGAAAGCATAGTACTGGTTGAAATGGTCAGTCTATCCTTGGGTCTCAGATGGACAGTCTCATGAGGGCACTGGGGACCCACTGAAAATGTGCTTCTCCAGTGTTCCTCGACGCTGAGGGACTGACGCATTTCCCATAATGCACATGTGCAGTATCCTCCATAAAGCATCAGATTGCGTCGTGGTCGCAGTGAACCGATTGGTGTTGGAAACACTGCGATAACCGGTGAGCCAATGAGCGGGGCGGGGCACACAGAGTGAATTAGGGCGGGGGTCAGCGTGCCCTCTGCGTGGGTGGGTCCCGGGGGGCTCTTCCAGTCATGTTCCAATTAGCCGTCCGCTAAGTGGTGGGGAGGGGGGCGCTAAGCAGACCATGTGAGGGATTGCGGGATAATTGCTTTAGTGGAGTAATTAAGACCTGCGATGGCAGGAAATCAGAGGTCCCTGTGGACTTTCGGGGGGGGGGGTCTCTCTCGAGCACGGCGGGCAGGGAAAATGGGCCGTGATCCCATGTGGTGTGGCACAAGATGACCCGGCTCCCAGGAAAAAAAAAAGACAAGTCAATCAGGATGCAGTGGCAGTGATAAGTCAAGCAGGCGACATTCGCTCTAACTGCACTGTGTGGCAGTGATTTACTGACAGGTGTGTAATGACTGTCAGCGGGCAGGCAGCCCGGAGAATGAGCACGATGCCCAGGGTGTGTGACACGTTCGGACAGAGGCTCCGCCCACGTCCATGGCCACACCCATTTTATGATCACCCCCCCCCAGTGTTTTTCCAGCCTGTTCTGTCACTCAGAGCACCTATATTATTACATTAAAATGTTGCTTTGGGACCCATCCAGCTTGTTTTTCTGTAGCTGTACAACATGGTGGCGCCGCCGGAAATGAAACTGCAGGTGGGCCAGAATAAAAGTGGGTGGGGCCACACAATCCAGTACAGCTCAGTAGCATTTACTCTACATTACAAACGCCAAGGAGTTCCACTGTGCCTCTGCATGCTGTGTCACCATACTGACATCCTTCAGCAGCCATTAAAATCAAACCAATCCGCTCTGTTTAGTTTCTGCGGCACGACATTATATACAGAATCTGAACAAGCACTTCGCCGCAGGTGCAGGGACGACGAAAAGAGCTTTACATGCAGCAACTGTATAGAGTATTAAGCAGCAAAGCCAAGCCATGTTATACAATTAATCTGCAATGCACAGCCATAGTCCACAGACACTGTGAAACACAGGAATCAAACTCAGCAAAGTATTTTAATTCTTCAATTTCAGTGGCTGCCTGTTTCTCTCGGCTACCGCAGCCATCTCTGCGCTCTGATAGTCTCACAGACTCCTGAGGAAAAGGCCTACATTTGATGTCTTTCTGGAGTCGTATTAATCCATCCATCCATGTTCTATAATAGCCTATCTTATTCAGGGTCATGGGGGGTCCGGAGCCTATCCCATTCAGGGTCATGGGGGGTCCGGAGCCTATCCCATTCAGGGTCATGGGGGGTCCGGAGCCTATCCCATTCAGGGTCACGGGGGGTCCAGAGCCTATCCTATTCTGGGTCACGGGGGGTCCGGAGTCTATCCCATTCAGGGTCACGGGGGGTCCGGAGCCTATCCCATTTAGGGTCATGGGGGGTCCGGAGCCTATCCCATTCAGGGTCACGGGGTGTCCGGAGCCTATCCCATTCAGGGTCACGGGGGGTCCGGAGCCTATCCCATTCAGGGTCACGGGGGGTCCGGAGCCTATCCCATTCAGGGTCATGGGGGGTCCGGAGCCTATCCCATTCAGGGTCACGGGGGTCCGGAGCCTATCCCATTCAGGGTCACGGGGTGTCCGGAGCCTATACCATTCAGGGTCATGGGGGGTCCGGAGCCTATCCCATTCAGGGTCATGGGGGGTCCGGAGCCTATCCCATTCAGGGTCATGGGGAGTCCGGAGCCTATCCCATTCAGGGTCATGGGGGGTCCGGATCCCATCCCGGAGACTATGGGCACAAGGCAGGGAACAACCGACCAATCTTTCATTTTCCACAGAATAAAAATCAGTGCAGCGTTATTCTGCTAAGTGCTGACAAGTTTCACCACTGGCACCAGTGATATTAAATAATAGTATATATCAGTTATGAATCGAATTTTCCAGCAAAAAGGTATTCATTAATGCATTACATATAACTGACATACAACAATATTTTGCTCAATTTTTTCTCAACTATTTATTTCTCTTTTCCCAGTTAGCCCAGTGCTTGAGGTCAACCAAGCAAGCTATCGCTGTAAGTACCAACCAATCAGCAAGCTATCGCTGTAAGTACCAACCAATCAGCAAGCTATCGCTGTAAGCGCCAACCAATCAGCGAGTTAATGCTGTAAGCACCAGCCAATCAGCAAGCTATCGCTGTAAGCGCCAACCGATCAGCAAACTATCACTGTAAGCGCCAACCAATCAGCGAGCTATCGCTGTACCAACCGATCAGCAAACTATCACTGTAAGCGCCAACCAATCAGCAAGCTATGGCTGTAAGCGCCTCCCCAGTAGATAGTTTTCGAGCGAAAAATGGGGACTAAAAGGGGTTCTGGAACTGCCTGCGAGGAACTACACTTAGAGTTTCTGTGGTAGGAACACGACAAAAGTTCCTGGTTCCATAAAATGGTTCTGTGGTGGAAATATGCCTAATAATAGCAGATTTGTTGCCAAAACTATTTCATTGGGTGGGCCTAGGCAAAAAGGGTATGTCCCTGCCTGGTGTCACTCACCTAACGTGTCCAAATTCAGCGGCTGCATCCTTCGAAGGACACAGTCAGTGAAGGTGTAGCCATTGTTGGCTCCTTTCTTTGAAGGTTGAACAGAAAGCGTCCTCTAATGGGACCGTCTGGCCTATGGAAAATTTCTATTTGCTTCACCAGCTCTTCCCACCCTTACCTTTGAGTCACGAAGTGTCGCTCCTATAACCCAGCCGGGACACGCCCACTTTACCTCTGCACAATGAATCTTGGGATATGTTGGGCTGCAAAAGATCCGTCAGGTGAACCCTTCACGACTCGGCAAAAGAAGGACGCATTTCTAGACCGCATTTGAAGGAGACTTTGAAATGGGACAGCCTTGTCTCATCACTGTGGCACATTTGGCCTTTGAATGCAGACTTAGGAGGGTGCAGCCCCTGAATTTGAACACAGTCGTAGCATGAGGCAGGCTGCCATCTGAGTAACCTTTCCTGCTGTGACCTGTAGCCACAGTAGAAGGGCCCTTCTTTGCAGGTGTGAGGGAGGGAGACGTTTGCTCAGTGGTGTGCTGAGACAGGCTTGGGTCAGCGGGGAGGCCCTCTCCCTTCCACTGGATGCCCCCAAACACCACGCCCAATCTAAGAGCACAACTCACACCTGACCTGTCAGAAACTCTCATGATGGAACGGCATTCATCTGCAATGCCTGTAGCTCTTCTTCTCATGACCGGAGATGGACACAGCGGTCTTTGATTCACACATCACATGTCACGTGTTAGATGTGACCCTGACTACAAATCAACCAGTGTCTGGCACCGAAAGCATACATAAGTACAGTCACTTCTATGAAACTGATGTGCGTAACCCGGCTGTCAAACAAGCTCGCTGTCAGCTGCTGCACCACAATATAGTCATGTTTCATTTTTGATAGTCAATGAGGGGTAGTGCACTCGGGGTGGGGGATGGGGGGGGGGCATCCATTTGAAGTAATATTCCCGCCCCGCTCCTGTGGAGTAGCAAACGTGAACATCCTGGCACTCTGCCCATGAGCTCGTTACTGGGGAGACAGGCAATGGGAATATTTAATTAAGGTGACGCCGCAGGCTGGGAGATGACGGATCGTCTGCTAAGATAGATGTTAACCTCACGCTGAAAAGAGGCATTAAGGCAGAGTGTGGCCAGTAGGCAGGGGGGCGGCTGGGTGGCAGCGGATGGGACAGCTGGGCATGGCGGGGGGAAGCCAGGCACAGTAGGGGGGCCCTCGCCTCCATGCCCGACATGCTGCCGGGATGGCAGCCGCCTCCCCTGGAGGGCGATAACAGGCAATCTAAGGATGACCCTTACTACCTGCAGGGGGCGCCATAGGGGCGTGCTTTCACAGGTCTGGGTGGGGGGCTGACTTTCTCTCCTTGATGTTTTAATTTCCTACATACACCATGTGAGGCACACATACCCACACACACCACGTGAGGCACA